ATTCAAGATGGATTAAAGACTTAAATGTTAGACCTAAAACCATAAAAACCCTAGAAGAAAACCTAGGCAATACCATTCAGGACATAGACATGGGCAAGGAATTCATGACTAAAACACCAAAAGCAATGGCAACAAAAACCAAAATTAACAAATGTGATCTAATTAAACTAAAGAGCTTCTGCACAGCAAAAGAAACTACCATCAGAGTGAACAGGCAACCTACACAGAATGCTAGAAAATTTTTGCAATCCACCCATCTGACAAAGGGCTTATATCCAGAATCTACAAAGAACTTAAACAAATTTACAAGAAAAAAATCAAATAACCCCATCAAAAAGTGGGCAAAGAACATTAACTGACACCTCTCAAAAGAAGACTTTTATGCAGCCAACACACACGTGAAAAAATGCTCATCATCACTGTTCATCAGAGAAATGCGAATCAAAACCACAATGAGATACCATCTTACACAAGTTAGAATGGCAATCATTAAAAAGTCAGGAAACAAGTGCTGGAGAGGATGTGGAGAAATAGGAATGCTTTTACACTGTTGGTGGGAGTGTAAACTAGTTCAACCACTGTGGAAAATAGTGTGGCAATTTCTCAAGGATCTACAACTAGAAATACCATTTGACCCAGCCATCCCATTACTGGGTATATACCCAAAAGATTATAAATCATGCTGCTACAAAGACACATGCACACATATGTTTATTGCGGCACTATTCACAATAGCAAAGACTTGGAACTAACCCAAATGTCCAGCAATGACAGATTGGATTAAGAAAACGTGGCACATATACCCCATTGAATACCGTGTAGCCATAAAAAAGGATGAGTTCATGTCCTTTGTAGGTACATGGATGAAGCTGGAAATCATCATTCTGAGCAAATGATTGCAAGGATGGAAAACCAAACACCACATGTTCTCACTCATAGGTAGGAATTGAACAATGAGAACACTTGGACACAGGGCAGGGAACATCACACACCAGGACCTGTTGCGAGGTGGGGGATGGGGGAGGGATAGCATTAGGAGAAATACGTAATGTAAATGAGTTAATGGGTGCAGCAAACCAACATGTCATATGTATACATATGCAACAAACCTGCACATTGTGCACATGTACCCTAGAACTTAAAGTATAATAAAAAAAAAAGAAAGAAATTATTCCCTCACTGTTGATTGCTGCTGACTGATCAGGGTCATGGTTGCTGAGTTCTGAAATGACTGTGGCAATTTCTTAAATAAAATACAGCAATGAAATTTGCCTCATTGATAGACTTCTTTCACAAAAGATTTCACTGTAGAGAGATTTCTGTTTGACAACTTACAGTGTAGAGCTTCTTTGAAAGTTGAAGTCATTTCTCTGTAATCCAGCCACTACATCATCAACTATCTTTTCATAATATTTTAAATCCTTTGTCATTGGAGCATCTTCACCATCTCACAATGGTTAAGAGATTTCAACCCAAAAACAACTTTTTGTGCATTCATGTGAAGGAACTCTTAATCTCTTAAAGTTTCATCATGAGATTACAGCAATTCAATCACCTATTAAAGCTCTACTTCTCATTCTAGTTTTCTTGCTCTTTCCATTACACCTGCAGTTACCAAAACCTTAACCCCGTTAAAATCATCCTTGAGAGTTGTAATTAACTTTTTCCAAACTTCTGTTCATGTTGATATTTTGACATTTTCTTATGAATGACAGATTTTCATGATGGCAGTCAGAATGCTGAATTCTTTCCAGAAGGCTTTCCATTTACTTTTCCTGGATTCATCAGAAGAATCACTATCTATGGCAGCTATAACTGATTGAAATGTATTTTATGAACAATAAGACTTGAAAGTTAAAATTACTCCTTTATCCATGTGCTGAAGAATACATGTTGTGAAAGCAGTCATAAAAACAAACGCAATATTTTGGTACCTCTGCATTAAAACTCTTTGTTAACCAGGTGCATTGTCATTGAACAGCAATATTTTGAAAGGAATCCCTTTTTGAGCAGTCGGTTTCAACTGCTGCTTTTTTTTTTTTTTTTTTTTTGAGACGGAGTCTCGCTCTGCCGCCCAGGCTGGAGTGCTGTGGCCGGATCTCAGCTCACTGCAAGCTCCGCCTCCCAGGTTCATGCCATTCTCCTGCCTCAGCCTCCCGAGTAGTTGGGACTACAGGCGCCCGCCACCGCGCCCGGCTAGTTTTTTGTATTTTTTTAGTAGAGACGGAGTTTCACCGTGTTAGCCAGGATGGTCTCGATCTCCTGACCTCGTGATCTGCCCGTCTCGGCCTCCCAAAGTGCTGGGATTACAGGCTTGAGCCACCGCGCCCGGCCGTTCAACTGCTGCTTTTTATTTTAAGCAGTAGACTTGAAATATTCAGTAACCATGCTATGAAGAGCTATGCTGTAATATAGTCTTTTTCTATTTATAGAGTGTGGTTTTGAAATTATAATAAAGCATTGGTTTTATCCTGAAATCAGCAGGCACAGGAGCTACTAACACAAGAGTCAGCCTGTCTTTTGAAGCCAGGCATTGACTTCCTTCTAAATATAAAAGTCCTAGATGGCACCTTTTTTGATACAACACCCTTTCACCTACATTCAAAATCAATTGTTTATTGTAGTCACTTTCATTAATGATCTTACATAAATCTGGTTGACCTGCTGCAGATTCTCCATCAGTACTTGATGCTTTATTTTGTACTTTTTTGTTATGGAAATGGCTTATTTTATTCAACCTCATGCACCAACCTCTACTAGATTTCAACATTTTCTCTGGAGCATCCTCATCTCTATGAGCCTTCATACAGTTGAAGAGAGTTAAGGTCTTCTTCTGGATTAGGCTTTGGCTTAAGGGAATGTTGTGGCTGGTTCATCTTCTGTCCACATCATTAAAACTTTCTTCTTAGGAACAATAAAACTTGTTTTGCATTCTTACCATTTTGTATTCAACTGGAGTAGCATTACAGATTCCTTAAAGAACTTTTCCTTTGCATTCACAACTTGGCTAAATAATTAACAATAGACCTAGCTTTCAACCTACCTCAGCCTTCAACATGCATTCCTCAATAAGCTTAATCATGTGTAGCTTTTGTGTTTAAGTGAAAGATATGCTATTCTTTCTTTCATGTGAACATTTAGAGGCCACTGGAGGGTTACAATTTGACCTAGTTTTAACATTCTTGTGTCTTAGGGTATAGGAAGGCCTGAACAGAGGGAAAGAGATAGGGGAACCACCTGTCACTGAAGCAGTTAGAAGACACACAATTATCTATTGCATTCACTGTCTCATATGGGCACAGTTTAGGGTATCCCAAAACAAGTATAGCAGTAACATCAAGATTACAGATCTGGAGAGGACCCCAGGCTGCTTACACTCATGGCAAAAGGGGATGTGGAGTTAGCATGCACTGAGGTTAGATGGTGAGAGAGGAAAGCAATAGAAGGGGAGTAAGGTATGAGGCTCTTTTTAATAAGCAGCCATCAAGAAAAGTAATAAAGCAAGAATTCACTTACTACTGCAGGCAGAGCACCAAGCCACTCATGATGGATCTGTCCCAATGACCATAACAACTCCACTAGGCCCCAATTCCTACATTGAGAACTCAGCATATGGTTTAGAGGGTCAAATATCCCAATTACAGCATTCTGACCCTGGTCAATGAACTTCACACCCTTCTTACAGGCGAATTGTAACCATTTCATCCCAATAGCCCCCAAAAGTTTTAACTTGGTCCAGCACCAACTTAAAATTCCAAAGTACAAAAGTTCATCTCAGACTCAAGGCAAGTTCCTGCCAGTTATGAGCCTGTGAAGTCAAAAACAAGTTATTTACTTTTGAAGTAGAACATTGTTATCAGTTGTGAGTAAACATTCCTTTTCCAGAAGATAAAAAAACTAACAAAAACAAAACAAAACAAAACAAACAAAAAAAATGGTGTGGGTAAGGTCAGGAGAAACAGGACTTGTGGAAGTCAGAATGCCAGCAAGGCAGACGTTAAACCTTATAGCTCCAAGATAATTTCCGGTGACTTTGTGTCCTGCATCCTGGGCACATTGGTGCAAGGGGCCAGCTCTCGAGCATTTGGGCAGCACTGTCTCCATGGTTTTGCTGGGCACAGCCCACATGACTCCTCTTACAGGTTGGAGTTCTATTCCTGTGAGACTCTTCCAGGCAGAAGTTTCAAGCTGCCAAAGGGTCTGTGATTCTGGGATCTGGAGGGCTGTGGTCCTGCTCCCACATCTCCACTAGGCAGAAACCCCATGGTGAATTTTGACCCCACATTTCTGCTTAGCATTGCCCAAGTAGAGAGTCTGGGTGGGGCCTCCACCCCTGCAGTAGGCTTCTGCCTGGCTCGGTGAAGCTGCCAAATCTCAACTACTCTTGTGCCACAGAGATATCTGGTTTGAAACTCCCCTTTTTTTTTCTACTCAGAATTCCCTCCAGTGACCAGTTATGAGGCCTCTGGCTTCACAAGGCTCAAGGGACTAGGTGGCTGCTATGTGGGGGACTTGTGCCTGAAGAGTGTGGGTTCGTGGGGTTGATAAGAATTCAAAATTTTTCCCAGATTGTATACAATCTGGCTGAATGAGAAACTGATCTCAGGAGGCCAGGAGAATACTCAGTAGTATAGGAGATAGAGAGGAGTTTAATTGGCTCACAGTTCTGTAGGCTGCGTAGGATGCATGGCTGGGTAAGCGTCAGGAAACTTACAGCCATGGTGGAAGGCAAGGGGAAGGAGACACGTCTTCATGTGGCCAGAGCAGGAGAAAGAGAGTGAAGGGGAGATGCTACACATCTCTAAACAACCAGATTTCATGAGAACTCACTATCACCAGAACAGCAAGGGTGAAGACTATCCCTATGATCCAATCACCTCCCACCAGATCCTTCTTCCAATACTGAAGATTACCATTGACATAATATTTGGGTGGGGACACAGATCCAAACCATATCAGACCTTTTGTTTAGAAAAATCATGAAGGAAAATGCACCAAATGATAAGTATCCTGTAAAGAACTACAGATCATTTTTGTTTTATATTCTTTATTTTTCATTTTTTAAAAATTTATGGGTATTACTTTATCAGGAAAAACAAACATCTTCCTGTTAAAGTCTTCATTTCATAAAAGAAAGGAAAGGCAAGCAACCTGCAACTTCAGATCCTACTTCCTGCTCCTCTATCAAATACAGAAATCCTCTCCATGTCACCTAAAAGGAGGAAATTGTGGTGATAATGTTCAATAGCTCATGGTCAATATTCTTCAGAAAATGGAAAATAAGGGTGATTAGCAGCACTGAAAGAGAAAAAATAATATTAATTTAGTAACTCTTTTTTCCATTCCGTCCAAGAGTTTTTTCTGAAGATGCACTTAGGATGGGCTAAAATTTCTGAATTTACCATTGAGTCCCTACTTGTACCTCGGCACATACAATTTAATCTATGGAGGGGATGAGATGCATCTCTAATACCCACACCTAAGAAACACAATTATGTCTTACTTAAATATAATTATAAAGATACTTGTTAGTTAGGAAATAAAATTACTGTTTGTTTTCCTTTTCATGTTCATTTTTCTTTTTCATAATTTGTTCTTTTTAATTGAGTGACATTAAAAAGTACCTTCTAAGCAGTTAAATGTGCCAGGAGTCATCTTGACATAGGGCCACAGACAAGAGTAGGACAAGGCGTTCACAGTCTCATAAGGCAGATCACAGACTTATACTCAGCCTTCGGGTATAGAAAAGTTACTTCCTATATTTTTCTCACTGAAAATGTTTCCTCTCAGAATCTTGGTGTGGTTTTATGTAAAGGAGAGGGATTCTTCAGACCTTTTTTGAGACTGAGTCTTTATTCTGGCAACCAAAATTGTATTTCCCGTTTCTAAAGTCTCCTCTAAACTCCTCTCTGTTTAGCCTTCTCTCTCCTTAGTCCTGAAATCCTGCAGTAGTTGAGCAAATGGAACATCACGTTTATAAATAAACCAGTCAAGGGATGTTGGGTTCCCCAGAGGTGGACTTCAGGTGGACAAAGATGACACTGGAGTAAGAGTCCTGCCTTGAGGATCCAGAGAAACTCCAAAGGATCTTATCTTGGTAAAGGCCATTGACACCTCAGTCACTAGCATTTGAGGGTCTATGACTCTCATAATTCATTCACCATTCAGCATGGTGAGATTATATAACTGAGGAAATGGGGGTTGTGGTAGGTAAAGAAGGCCAAGAAAGACATAAATGTTGCAGAAATAGTTGGTATCCTGAAGAGGGAATACCACATTAAGGCTTCCCTAGGACATAGGCAACCTTTGCCTTCGGGGGCCCATCCTGCACTAATACTTAAATTATGTTTTCCATTACCATGATGCAAACACAAAGATAGAGCAGGATGGAGTCATTATTACATATGCATTATTATTGTATTCATTTTTCTTCTGATTTTAATATAAATTAAACAGAACATTATGATGGGCCCCTATAGGTTTGTAGGTACTACACACTGAGCCTTCTAGGCTCACAGGCAGTGGGCCCTGAGTGCTAGACCCAGGCACAGATAGTAAGGGCATTCAAGAATTGGATTCACAATGGTGCAGACACTGGCAGTTTCACTTACAGACACATTTCTACTGGGTCAGAGATTGAGTCCTGGAGGAAACCTCTGGTCTGAGGGCTACAGGGCATCTCCTATTTTATCCCATGCCTGAATTTGGGCATGTCTTCCTGATAGGGGGAAGATTTGTTCCCCCATTTCCCTGCATACTACAGAAAACAGCCTGTGAAAGAATCTACAAGCATCACTTACAATTGTAACTTATCATATCGGAGATTTCTGTTGAGGCCATCAATGGCTTTCATGTCTTCTGGAGTCAACTCAAAGTCAAAAATCTGAAAGGAAGAAAACACTCACATTAAACCCTCCCCAGGGCAGCAGCTTCTACATGGGAATACAAGGACTTTCCAGGAGGCAGAGGCAAGGACAGCATTAGGGGAAGCATTTTCATCCTCATCGGCTTCCAGATGCACTTGGCCTGAGACCTCTTCCACCTGCATTCTGCCTCTTCTCCATCCCACCCCTCTCCTACTGAGCTCCACTTCTCAAAAGAAAGGTGTGCACTCATCAATCTAAAATATTTGTTGAGAATTGCTTGAGACAGAAAAAGGAAATCCTTTATTTTAAAATAGAAAAGAAAGTGTGCAAAATAACTGCCACATGGACATGTCCACACTTGGTCAGGCTTTTGTTTCCTCAATTCCCCTGGAACTTGATCCATCCTTGGAATGAGAAAGCCTTAGAACACAGGAAACTCCCACTCAAGAATCTGTTTACCCCAGAAAAAGCAATTCTGGACAACTGTTCTACTTGCTCACCTCAGGACCCCTAAATACTGTCTATTTCTAGCTGTGTTTTATCTTCCTTATAGAAAATGCTTACTAATTGATCTTTGAGACACTTACATCTTATGTTCAAAGAGTTCTGCATTTTTAATAAATCTCTCAAGTCCAGAGAGGTTCATTTGTGTCAACACATAGTCCCTGATGAGGAGTCCCTTAATAGTAAAACAGATATTTTTGGTAAAAAAAAAAAAAACTAAACTAAGTTCATTATGTGATCCAGGAGACAATTTCATGAAAGCCTCAGATACCCCTCTCTCGCTATCTGTCTAATGTATTTATCTCTTTCTCTATATATATCTGTCCATTTTCTTTCTATCTACCAACACATTTATTCACAGCTCTTTTTAAAAATGTACTTCAGAAGTTATATGGTTGTCAAGAGAGCAGGTATTAACATTTTGATTTGGATCAAAAAATAAAATGGATTTTTTTTCTTTACGTTGTAACAATGAGATTTAGATTTACCGATTTAATTTTTCCACAAGTTAATATATTTAATCTATAACTTATTTTGAAATAAATACATTATATATAATATGACTCAAATGTCATGTCTTATAAATATTAAACTCATAATAAAATTTGTAGCTGTCATTTTAAAATGAGAAACAGCTTACATATTTTTTCAAAATTCTTGTGGGATTCAAAACAAAGTAAGTTGGAGACCTGTGATTAATATAAGGTCCAGAGTGTATGTGGAGAAGGGTTTACAAAATAACTTCACTCATCAATTTCTTAGTTTGGTTAGTCTGTAACCTTATACCTAACTTCATACCTGCTGGGGTCACTGCCAGGGGAAAGGTAATAGAGGATAATCCAGAGGGAGTCATTGTATTTAGGTTCTCACAGTCCAGAGAGCACACTGAAGTCTTAGCAAATGATGTAAAATTAATAAAGAAAAAACTCACTAACAGAGTCATGCCAGGGGCTTTTGTGGTGAAAACTGGGCCGGGGTGTCCCAGTAGTTTAACAGAGCAGCTAATTTTATTTGGGTTTGATTTTAAACTACAAATAGGCATTTGTAGGTAGAGAAGGTGAAGGAGAGGAATCAGGGTCCTTGAAGTTCATTACCATGTAGAATTCCTGAAAAGGATGAAAATAAGTGAATTGAAATTTGCCTAGTGTCACACAACTAGTAAGTGGCAAAGCCAGGCCTAGAGATGATAAACCTTAGGCCTCTGAGTTCAGTGCTCTCTTGTTCGATCCTTCCACACTGCCCTCCTCCCTTAGCACACAGTGGAGAGAAGCACAGGAATGAATGACACGTGTTGCATTTTCCCATGTAAGGGAGATAACCCAGACCAGCGTTCATGGCTCACTCTGGAGTGACTCTGCTCAACCTGTACCTGGAAGTTCTCTTTGATTCTCTTCTGAGAGAAGCTCTTGGCCAGGACCACAACTCCCCGCTGCAGCTGATAGCGCAGGGCGACCTGGCCTGGGCTGCGACTGTGTTTCTTAGCAATGGATTTTAAGACTGGCTCCTCCAAGAGATGTGGGGAGTCGGGATCCACCCTGTTGGGGTAGGAACAGACACAGATGTGAAGGATGCAAAACGGAAAATCTAGAGTGTGCTGCTCCTTTTCCCCAAATTCTCCAGAGAGTTGAGAGGAGTAGGCACAATACAATTTGATTTAAAATGGTCTCATAACTATTCATATGGATTCATTCATAAATGCAGTGAACTGAAAACAATAAAGCTGTCCATTAACAGGTGAATGCATAAACAAGTTATCCATACCCTGGAATAATATCCAGAAATAAAATGGAAAGAATTACAGATACTCACAACTACATGAATGCATCTCACAGACACAGTGAGCCAAAGAAGCCAGGTGCAAAACAGTGTGCATGATCTCTTTCATATGAAAATTTAGAGCACACAAAACTAATCTAAGGAGAAAAAAAAATCAGAAAATAGTTTCCTAGCAATGAGAAGTTATTGTCTCAGAAGGAACAAAAAATAACTTTTTTGGGAGATAGTAAGTTTGTATACCACATTAGGGATGTGGGTTACAGAGTATGTCCATTTGCCAAAATAGTATAGCATTACAGCCTATGCAAGTTTTATCTAAAGATCACTTTAAAATTTATATTAGGAGTGGGATTGGGCATAAGTAGTCACATAGATGACACAGGAAGGAAAGAATGTTGGTGATATTTAAGCTCAGTGGTGATACATGGGAACAAACTACACCATTGCTTTTTGTTTTTAATCTTTGAACTTTTTAATAATAAAATTTTAGAACTTAGTTTTAATAGGAGTTTTTCAGCATCAACAGAATTCCCGCCATAGATTAGCTCTTTGATATTCTTATTACCACTGTGGGTCTCTTTGGGATCCCAGGGCACTGTAGGCGACTAGAACAATGTCCTTGGACTTGCAGAACTCCAGGAGTTTGCTCTGGTTGAGGTAAGGGTGACATTCCACCTGTAATTTTTCAAGACCAAAAGGTGTCACAACATATGAGCCAACAATCACATGCAAATTTAAAATTGGCCCGAAGGCATGTGTAATACTACATTAATAGATGTACTATACTTTTCATGTTGGCCCTTTTCCCTATGCACCTTCTGAAGCACCTTTAAATCCCATCGCTTGCCATACTGATACAGTAATTTCCTTATTCCTTTTCTATTTATGTTTGAAAATTATTAAAATACCTTGCGCCCCAATTATAGCCTCTAAAAACCATTTTTAGTGAAAGAAACCAAGATTGCTTAGAGGAAGGGCATATTCCAGTTCTGAGTGTGAAAGTTTCCATTTGAGCCTAGAAGAGCTTGCACTCTAGAAAGGAAAGAATAATGACAATGACGCATGCTGCCAAATGATCCAGGATCTTACTTGAAGAGGCTTCTGCTGGTCTAAATATGGAAATTTGAGCATCAAAAGACATAGTAATTATGATTAATGGAAAATGACGTATTGGCTAAAAATTCATAAATTCACATGGCATTAATCAAATGAGATCAGATCTGTAGCACTAAGCTTCAATTTGCAGGAAGCACAAAAGGAACATGTCAAAGTGTGTCACGTGGATCAATGAGTAAGCCATTAGTAAGTGATGTGGAAATTTTTACAGAACAAATGACTTAATTTCTTTCATAAAACCGAAACTTTCACTGGATTCCTGACACCACCCTCTCCTGGTGGTCTCCACCTGTCTGGCAGCTTCTGTTCAATCTCCTTGCCAGTGCCTCTCTGCTTCACCCTCTCCTGTGGATTTTCCTGCCTGTTCCTTTTCATTCATGAACTTTCCCTAGGAGAACAAATCCATGTCTGTGAGTTTAGTTACTATCCATAAAACAATGACTGCAAACATCTGTATCTCCTCCTGGACCACTCTCTGAGCTCCAGACCAGAGCTGCCACTTCCCAACTCAGCACCTCCACATGGCTGTCTCACAGGAACTTTCACCCCCTCTGAAGAATTGTGCTCTTCCACCGCACTCAAATTGCCTTTCTCTCGTATCTTCTATTTCTGAGAGAAAAGAACTCTCATCTACATAGATGACATCAAAGCAGAAACTTGGAGACATGATTAAGCAGGAAGTATGTGAAGAGCAGAAAGTCAGAGAAGGCCCTGTGGGCTAAGGGCTCACCTGGTTGCAGGTGGGCTTGTACTTGAGCCCTGGCTTGTTGAGGATGAGTTCCAGCAGCTTATGATTGAAATTGGACACCCCGATAGACTTGGTTAAACCTGCGTCTTTGCACTTCTCCAGGGCCTGCGGAGGAAGGATATGGGTGGTAGACCTTTAGTGTAAATTTTTCTTTTCAATTGGCATTTGACTTTGTAAATGATGGAAATCTGTTTTAACATATATAAATATTAGACTGAATTAAACAGTTTTATCACTTGAATATACAATTTGCTAATGCATTACCTTGCTATGCATATGTTTGTGTCCTTGATTCTATTACATGCACACTCAGGACAGCAAGTAGACATGTTTGTTGTCTCCCACTTATTTCAATGGTACCTATTTGGCTTGAGACATGCAATAGTTCCTTAACAAATTATACCAAAGTCATAAGAAAGGGAGACTCTCAGGTTTTCTGTTAGTAGATGGTTTTTTGCTACATCTATTCTAGAATGTTAAAAAAAAAAATCAATCAAATGGGCTTTTCAAGGGCAGGTTTACCGTCCTGCACCTTTCACCCTCCTGCTGAGTCAGTCCGCAGCTGTCCCTCCTCCACGATGTGTTTCTATCCAAGGATAATGCACTGACCCCTCTTATAGGGCTCACATCCTCAACCTGATCTCAAGGCCAAAGGTGTTTCTGTGTCTAATTAGAACCTCAGAAGTTACAATTAAAATGAACCGTAGAGGCCATCTCATTCCACTCTCTCACTTCACAGATGAGAACACAGAGGCACAGAGAAGTTCCACATGTGAGGTCAGACAACTGCTGAAGCAAAATCCCATCTCTTCTGACCCCTCCTCCTCCTCCTGTGATTTCAACCTCACCACACAGTGCTGCCTGGTGTCTGCAGCAGAACATACCTCCCAAGTGTCACAAAGGTCCACAGTTTCTAAAATAATCTCCCCACTGGCATTCTTTGGCAGTAATTCTTCCCCAGCCTGGAAAATAGAGAGAACAGAAGATAAAGAAGGATATTTTCTATGGAACTCCCCTTTCTGGTGCCTAATGAGTTTGGCCAAACAACCTTCAAGAGTTTCAGGAGGCTGTGATTATTAATCTGAGTGTGCCTATTTGTGCCTGTGTGTGCATGCATGTGTACATGTGTGTGTATATATGTGTGGGTATGTGTGTAAATGTGTTTGTGTGTGTGTTTGCAGGCATGTGTGGATTATGTGTACATACGTGCATGTGTGTGCAAATAAAGACATGGGTTGAAAGAAAGATAAAAATCATGAGTGACTGTCGCAAAACACCTTGCCCCAGTAACCTCCAGGCTCCATCCTCCACATGTCCCTACTCTTCACTAAGAATGAGGTCCCTATAGTTGGAATTCATTTTGTTTCCCAAGGACAAACTGATGTGGAGGACAGAGCTTAGTATAACCATATGCTTATCCAACTCAGATAGTGAGGACATCAGATGTGCTCAGCCAATGTCCACTGTGATGAGAGGTTGGATCAGTGAAGCCCAAAGGAGCCCAGTTGTGCCACATGCACCATCCCAGGTATCTCTCTTTTGTTGGGCTGAGGGGTACATATGGGAGACCCTCCCATTAAAGAGACAGGGGTTCCCATTGTATCTCTGCAGTCTGTGGTAACTCAACATTCTTGAGGATCCTAACAGCTCAGGGCCTCCATTCAGGAACACAAGCACTGAGACAGGGCAATGCCCTCAACTATCTAGGGTGGAGGAAGTGAGATCATTGAATCTGAACCCCCCCTTAAGGCTGGGGGACAAGGATAGACAGAAAATCTTGATGGTAGAGCACTCAATTGTGAAAGATACTCATGAAAGATTTGGCAATCCTATGCACCTCACTCAAATCTGCCTCTCTCTGGAAGAACCCAGGAAACCAAGCCAGAATGAGATAATTCAGGTGCTTATAACAATGATGAAACAGTCTTGGGCATAACAAGGAAAAACAAAAGCTGACCTTCATAGCAAATGGTACATGAATAATGAAGAGATCTACATAATCCAGTCCAAGTTTCTTCAGTGAACTTTCTAGGGCTGGGCGAACCAATTCTGGCCGAAGGAAAGTAGCCCAAAGCTGCAGTGACCAAAAGAAACAAAGTGGATTATAATTTCACACATTTGAGGACCAAAATTAAACTTCATGGTCAGACACTGAGATGTGAGTCTTAAAACACTGTAGTCTAAAGCTAAAAGAGTGGCACTAAATATATGTTACTCAGTATATATCAGGTCCTTGATGGGACACTGAGATTTCCTTGAATGACTGCAATGTAAGAAAACGGAATAAAACTAACAAGGGGCAGGAAAATCAACTTCAGTGTATCAAGGGTTAGAGGAGTCATCCACCAAAATGAGTCAATAAATGGCAGGACAGAGAGAACAGAATCTCTTGTCCTGTATAATAAATTCCCAGGAAGAATTATTCTGAGACTCTCACATTCTGAAATTAAGTTTGTATCGATATAAACATACACAGGGTGCATCCCTGAAGACCTCAGCTCTGTTTACATTGGAAGCATGGATTTCCACCTAGGACAATTTTAGAAAGTTCATAAAACTCAATACTGATTTTAGAAGAAGTGTTTTCTTGTCTGGATCCCTTTTCTGAATAATATCTAACTTTACTTGCTACATCCTAAGATCTCCAACTGAAGAACTGAAGGAGTGGACCCATAGTGGCTTGGTTAATCTGTACAACAGTTAAAGGAGATAAGTATTATTATTTCCATTTCATATATGAATACTGTCTGATGCTCAGAGACACTAAAGAACTGTGTTCTACCGTAACATATTTCAGAGTAAGCAAGTCATTTCTGTTTCTGTTTCTATAATGTGCCTTCCCAATATTAGGAGGTAAATAAACAATTCAACTTAGACCATATTTTCATTTCAAAATAACATATATCAACTGGTAGTGGCCTCTGACCACTTCACACACAGAACTTTCACCTTGGTAGTGTAGAATATATCCTCTCTCTTGACAGTACCATCAGCAATCTTCTCCCAAATGGCCTGTCCAACCTCCTCCTCATTTTGGTATAAGTACGCTGAATCAATATGGCGGAAGCCTACGTCAATAGCCACTTTGGTGGCTTCAGCAGCCTGGCTTTTGGGAGTCTACAAGACAGGAGTAAGAAGAGTTGTTGATCTGCCTGAACCAGAGAACATCAATGCATTTCCCCCAATAGCATTTTCACTGGTAGTTTCTGCTGGCCTCCTCCTCCAATTTTGATGGCATGGGTTTCAATGATAGACCTGTACTCTAAGGACATTGATTAAACTCCAGTATAACTTCTATTCCCAAATGAATTAGAGAAATCAGCTTCACCCTGGAGTATGGAAAAATCGTGTCTCATTCCATATCAATCAATTGTAGAAACTGAATATAACATATGTTAGACACACCTTATACTTACTGGATAAAATGGAAAATTATGCCATTGACAGCAACTGGCCCTGTCTGATGGCTGTTGTAAATTCACTTCTCATGTTATAGTTCTACCAAGATTAAGCACATTGTTCTCTCATTTTTAGAGCAATTCTTGCAAAGCAACCCCAAAGCTGCCCCTACCTCACTGTGACCAGAGTGTGACACTTTAAATTCCCTTCAGTGAACTGAGTGGATGGCTGAATAGTGTATTTCACTGAGAAGCACAATCTAGTCCCCATTATGACATTATGACTCTGAGTTTTCCCTTCTCATCTCCTAATGTGTGGAATTGAGATAAAAAAGTTAGTCAGGGTGGGCTCTTGGTAAAACTCCTTTAAACAGAGAAATGGCCTGAAAAATCAGGCTGCAGACACAGATAAGGAAACTTACACAAATCTCTGGCCCATTCAGATAAAAGACCAAGGCCCAACATAAAAACACATTTGTCCTTTATGCCTAAGACATACCAACAACTACACTAATAAGAGTACAAGACTCAACATAAAAACGCCTTTGTCCTTTAAACCTAAGACATGCCCACAACTACACTAGTAAGAGAACAAGACCCAACATAGAAATGCCTCTGTCCTTTGTATAACCAACAGGCTTCTAGAAAGTAGTCTCTTTTTCTTTTTGTGGATATGTACACTATGGGCTACAGTGGGTTCCAGTGGACACTTTTCTTTTTTGGACATGCTTTTGACTGTGAGCTGAGCCTCTAAGAATCATCACTACAGTGTCTGATTGCTCCTGGCCAAGGTTTTTGGTCAAGCTTTTACTTCAACTCTCTATTAGTCTCAGACCAAGGTCCTGGACAAAACTTTCACTGCAGTCTCTGATTAGTCCTGGGCCTAGGTCCAAGGCAAAGCTGAGTAACACTTTCTGTAAGTCCGGTCAACACATTCCTTCCCTTCCCAGTTCAAAACACCCCAGACCCAACTTCAGAGTTGACAACCCATTCAGGTCCCCTCTCTACTACAGAGAGCTTTCTTCTTTCATTTATTAAACCTTCATTCTAACCTCACCTTTTGTGTCCACAATTTTGTTGGTGGTAAGTCAAACTTTGGATGATACCTCACAAGAGACTACTACATTTTTGATACATTGATGAGACTGTAACATATTTTTGGTGCATGGGTTGGGAATGGTATTCATGGGAACAGTGAGCAGGAGCCAACTTCCAAACTCTTTACTTTCATTTCAGATTTTTTTTTTTCTCTCAAGAGCAAACACTGGGCCCCTGTCAGTAAATAGGGCAGCTGCCAGTCTTACAAGACTCAGGGGACAGGCTTCCTGGAGAGGACTTTGTCAATCCCCATCATCCTCAGGTGTTGGGAATGTTGACTCTGTTCCACTCCAGTTTTCTTTCACGGAAGACCTAGCTGTTGCATGCATGCAAACTTTCAGAGGTCCTAAGACAACAAAGTTTCTGGCTGAGGCTACACCTCAATGTTACCTGAAGGCGCCTGTACTAACTCCAGTTCCCAACAGCTTATCAGGGCTTTGGCACCAGAACTTATAGCCTTTCCTACTGCATTTTCTTTCTGTCTTTTCATGGCTGTCATGTCTTCTATTCCTTCTTCATATACAATGTTAGAGCATTTTTACAAGCTGTGAATATATTCTTGTTGGGTAAACTCAGCCAGTGTTGTAGTAATCAGGAATGTAATTCAAATAGGTACTGTTTTTGTGATTCCCTAGAAACAAGGGGAATTCAACGTTTCTGTCTAAATTTTCACCTACTAAGGGTCTTTTTGTCCCTACTGATAGACATTCATTACACTGTATAGGGGGTTATTTCACCATGAGTGAATACCTTCCTCCCTCTCCATTTGGGTTGTCTTTCCTCCATGTGAAAATTCACCACTGCCCAATGAATTTGAACAGTTGCTTTATGAGACTAATTACTTTTTTTCTACTGTGAGACATACGGGAACAGCCTATTATGCCTCTGACCTCTAACTTCTGCCTGCAAAAAATTTGGAGTCAGAGTTTTTACCTAACATTTCAGACCCTACAACACCACCTAGGGGAATGGCATTTTTTTCTCCATGGGGAGCCTTATCAGCCCTTTGCTCAAAACCTCTGGTTTCCCAATTCCTCTCTCTCCTATGTCCCTCTAACAGTGATCAAACTTCACACCCTATCTGTGAACAGAAATACACCACTTTCAACAATCAGAAAGAAACCTCCCTTGAGAAACAAATTCTAGCCTCAGTGCTGTCCCCATTAGAGGGAGGACAGCTATTCAATCCTCAGGTTCTTTTGAGACACCTGTTCTACATCCAGTTACACTGACATTTAAACAAAAAGGAGTACTTTATGTTTAATAGTCAATCAGTCCCATTCTCTAGAAATTCAATGCTTTACCAGCACCATAGCTAGAAAAGACAGAGATGAGGTTAAAACGCTCCCTTCATTAAAGGGTCTTACCCAAATCCAACTACTGTACAATGTCTCTCAGACACCTAGGGTTCCCCCAGGGAGGCTTATGGTCTAAGAAACCTAGAAAGACAGAGAACTAGTACCTCATACAGGTGAACATGACTACTCCTAACGAATAACTTGTTCAGATCTATGGGTGAAGGTAACATTTGCATCCATGGGTGACTCCTATAACAGTCACTGGGACCTGGAGGATGAGAGAAAAGAGGAAAAGGGAGACACTCTTTCTTTCTCTCCACCCTGGGTCACTCTAAAAAGAAGAAAGAGACTAAGGAACATCTTTTCTCCTCCCCTTTTCTAGATGAATAACAAACCATCTTTAGCCTGCACTCTTCTCAAGTGCATTTTGAAGCATTGAGATTCCTTTGACCCTGAGACTGAAAAAAAGACTCAAATTCTTATACACAAGGACATGGCTTTCTTACCAACTCTAGGATGGACAGGCCTAGACTCCTGAGAAAAGTGTTAATTTTAATGCTATCCAACAACTAGATCTTTTCTGCAGACAGGAGAGGAAATGGTCTGAAGTTTCCTATGTACAAGCCTTCTTTGCCCTGAAAAACAACCCAGATCTTTGTAAACATTATAAAATTGACCCTGCCCTCTTAACAGTTACATCAGACAAGCCCACAGTAGACAACTCCCCAAAGTCAGAGAAAAGAACCCACAGAAAACCCTGAAATGCAACTCCCAGGTGTCCCAGCCCTTGTCCCCACTTCACAGAGCCTCTGTAGTCAGATAATCATCAATTCCTCCAGTTCTACCACCCAAACCCCCGAATCCACTATTATCCCTACAAGAAATGCCTGATAGTCATGGTACCACTACAGTTCACATTCCTTTTTCATTACAAGACTTTAAACAAATAGAGGGAGACCTGGGCAAGTTATCTGATGACACTGACAGATATATAAAGGCTTTCCAAAATCTAACTTAAGTGTTTGATCTTACATAGAGAGATGTTATGTTACTCTTGAACCAAACCCTAACTACTGAGAAACAGAGAGCTCTGCAACCAACAAAGAGATTCAGAGATGAAAACATATCTCCTATAACTGGCTGAAAAAGAAAACCAGTAAAAAGGGGAAAGAGAATGAAAAAGAGACAAGATCCCCATTCCCGATAAGAAGGGAGACAACGTCCCTTGAAAACCATAATTAGAGTTCTAGTGATCCCATAGAAGTGTGAAAAAGAAAGCACCCTCTGATGTACATATTAAAAGACTTACAAAAAATCAGAACCAAATCTCTTAATTACTCTAAAATGTGCATGTTGAATCTAAAAACAGATGAAAATACCTCAGCCTTTATGGGAAGGCTGAGATAGACTTTAGTGAAACCCACCTCCCTATCTCCTGATTCAATTGATGGACAATGAATCTTAAAAGTCAAATTCATTACTCAGACAACCACTGACATCAAAAGGAAACTACAAAAACAGGCCATAGGTCCAAATAACACCCTAGAGAAACTCCTGAAATTAACTACTTTAGTCTTTTACAATAGGGACCAAGAGGAGGGGGGCCAGGAGGAGGAGAGGAAACATACAAAAAAAGGACAGAGACTCGAGTGACCACATTACAGGCCTATAAAATCCAAGATCCCCAGGTACACCTACTACTACCAGTACGACAAGTCAGGACACTTTAAAAAGAACTGTCAAAGCAACAAAAAGTCATCTCAACCCTGTCCAACGTGTGGTGACCACTGGAAGGTGGACTGTCCCTGGAAACACAGGTCTCTGAGTCCAGGGCCAGTCTCCCAGATGGTCCAACAAGATTGATGGGTCCCAGGACTCAATTCCTCTACTCCAATGACTCAATCTGCCATCACTACCCAGGGGGCCCCAGGTGATGCTAACAATAAAAGGGGAAAAAAAGTAGATTTCGTTCAAAACTCTGAAGCCAGTCTCTCTATTCTCCTCTCCAGTCCAGGCCTTCCCTCCCCCCATAACACAACTCTTATGGGCGTCTCAGGAAAGACTTTAACCCAATATTTTTCTAAACCACTTAATTCTAATAGGGGGTGTAAGAATTAAAGAAAGAGGAAAAAAACACAAAAGAAACATGAAAAGGTGCCTTGCCAGTCTGGACAGATTTATTTTAGAGAAAACAAATCTGAGAGGTGCCTTCTGGCTGAGTTAGGTCAGAGGTTTGCTCTCTTTACAGACTAAGAGTTTTTAAGGATTCACAGTGGGAGAGTTGATCAGAGGCTTGGACTGCTTCTGTGTTTCTTTGTTGTGC